TACGAACCCTTTGTACGAACAAAAGTAAGAGAAATTTAGGAGAAGAATACCAACATGTTCCTGCATGAGGCTCATTGTTGTTTACCAGAGGAACAACTGTTCCAGGACTTTTAACTTTCAGGGGACTTTCTGCTGAGTCATGACAGATTTTTTTGTCTTTATTTTGGAGTCCCCTCCACGTTTACGTCACTTCGCTTTCTGATTGGCTGCACGTCTCATTCATCAGACTGCGAGCTTGTTTGTTCTCAGGTGTAGGTTCAGGCTAATTTAATTTTAAAACTAAAAAAACAACCTGATTATTAGTTTTTTCTCRTTTTATTTTGAAATGGAACCAAAGAAGGAACCATACAGATTTATATGTTTTARATTATCAGTGATTCTAATCAAAGCTTGGTAAAAGTAAAATAAAACCACATGAACTCATTCTGAAACAAGTTTCTGTCTGAGCTGACTGCAGTTAGAAACAGCTGAAAGCTAACTATAGCTGGAGTCATGTTCGGCTCTGAATGAGGCTGAAATGTTCCTGCTGTTTCCCACAGACACAGCTCTGAGGTTTTACTCTGACGTTCACAGTCACAATCACACAATGTTTAAACACTTCCTCCTCGGTGGCGCCGACGCTCCACAACAACCTGACGCTTTATTCTGTTGAGGRAAAAGCAACACTAAAGGTGGAGACATCATACGGACATCACGATCAATACCAACCTGAATAAAGAGCACGCTTTGTTTTACTGCTTGGATTTTCCACAACTTCACAGGGATCAACACGTCTCTGCCAAGCAACAGGTATCTTTGCTCGTTATTAAAAAAATCTCTAGTATATATTCACAGTTGCTTGACTGAATGGCAAAAATACCCTTACGAAATCTAAAATTGCTGGTTTAATCATCTAAAACATGAAGAGTTCTTTAAAGTACTGGAGTCTAGCGGTCGTTTCAGATTCCAGAGAGTAAAAACGTCTTGCAGCTTGTTGCCTTTGAGCACGAACACATGTAGTCATACACAGAACCATTCATTTTCTGGAATATATATTCATATAATATAGAGATAGATCTGTAGTAATATGGAACAGTGGAAATACCTTCAGTTACAGCTGGTTTGATGAAGTCAGACACGGTTCACAAACTGCAATGGAAGAGATTCTGATGTACGGGATCAATCTTGTGCCAACAGGAAGTGAATCTGAATGTGCAGAATTTGAAATTAAAGGCATTGGTTTGAAAATAAATTTCACTAAATTGAAACTGAATTTAAAGTTTTGTATCTGAATTAATTTACTTTGAAACTGTATTTTGGTTTATTAAAAATTCAGTTTGACTACTTTGACTTTCAGTTCCATAATTCAGATGTTTGTGTCACATCCTGGTCCTTGAGAAAGCCAGGCAGAGTAATCAAACACAGATCACATATTGATCAGATGCTGCTGCTGACTGATCCATGATGTCATCATGTAAATGTAACATTTTCTACATAYAGGTCAAATTAATCACTGCAATAAAATAACTTTGTGTGTTTTTGTCACTTTTACAGTGGATTGCATCAACTCTGTTACATCCAGAAGGGAAACTTCACCAAAGTGAAACATAAATCTGTGGATCTGTGTTTGATTACTCTGCCTGGCTTTCTCAAGGACCAGGATGTGACACAAAMATCTGAATTATGGAGCTGAAAGTGAAAGTAGTCAAACTGAAGTTTTAATAAACCAAAATACAGTTTCAAAGTAAATTAATTCAAATTTGTTTCAATTTAGTGAAATTAATTTTCAAACCAATGCATTTAATTTTAAATTATGCACATTCAGATTCACTTCCTGTTGGCACATTATTTATCCCATACATCCTGTTCAGTCTGARGAGGATTTGCATGATTCAGATTTCTGTACAATAAAACAGCACACATAAAAACATGTGGACATTAAAATAAAAAATCCCACATTGATTGATTTGTGTATTTTTTTTGTTTTGTTTTTGTTTAGAAAGGGAGGCGAGGATTTGTTTTGTCACATGACCTTCTACACAGTAGTTTCGTTCTTCCAGGGTCCGGTGCGAATATTCCCCGTGCTGTCCGACGTGTAGAGCAGCCCCTCCTTCAGAATCCCGTTCTGACTGGGCGGGTTCTGGGGGCAGGATTGTCTGCGCGGGGCGTGCATCTCCAGGTGGTGATGCGTGGCCACGGGCTCGTCCTCGGCCACCTTCCCGCAGCCGCACAGGAAGACGCCGGCGTCGGCGCTCTCTGCCGGGCACAGGGAGGGGAACAGGTCCGCCTTGGCGCAGCAGATGTGCCTGTGGCAGGGGTTGTGGCACGCCAGGGACTCGTGCAAAGTGGCGGCGTGGCACGTGTGGTGCCCGTCGTGGTGGCCCTCGTGGGCCAGATGCGGGCAGACGTGGGCGTGGCGCTCGCGTGTGCTGTGTGGGCTGTCCGTGCGAGAGCTGTGCGCGCTGCCGCCGTCGGCGCCGGAGGGGATGTGGTAGGCGTACTCCCGGTCGCCCGGCTTGGCCCTGCGGCCCAACTGCCGGCTCTTAGTCCTGGCGCCGCCCTTCAGGCAGGAGTGCAGCTGGATCCCGGGCTCGGCGTGGAGCAGCACGTGGGTCGCCGTAGGCTCCTCCTCCATCAGCTGCTGGCTGTGCAGCGCGGCGCAGCACGGCGCCACGGGTGCCAGACACGTCACGTGGTTCTGCGAGGACGGAAGTGCGGCGTGTTTACAGTGAGCCAGGCTGCAGCCAATCAGGGCTTTCGCCTGACACGGCGAGTCGTGGTGGCAGTGGGCGTGGCCCTGGGTGTCGCCGTTCACGTTGACTTTGGGCCGCGTTTGAGCCAAGCCCGGCGCGCCGGCGCAGGCTTGGGCACGCCGCCCGGGGCAGCAGGAGCACCAGCAGTGCCAGACGTCGTCCCGTTTGGCGCAGTGATGGATGAGGATGAAGAGGCCCAGCGTGACGGAGAAGGCACCATACAGGCAGCTGAAGATCATGTCCAGGAAGTGTCCCTGCGACACGGCCAGGGCGCCGAACGTCCACGTGGCCAGGAACAGGAAGAGGGTGAAGGCCGCCGTCCGCAGCTGAGCTTTGAAGGAGTGCTCGTTAGCCAGCAGCGCGGGGTTGATGGGGACGCCCGGGCAGCCGGCGGGACACTGGCTCCCGGTGGGCGGGGCTCCGGGCTCCGCCCCCTGGTGGCAGTGGGCGGGGACATCGGCAAGTCTCTGCTGCTCCTCCGTCAGCCGCCGGAGCTCGTACTTCTTCTCGGGGTGTCGCCGCAGCTGAACGAAGGTGCACAGGAAGTAAATGCATGTCACCAGGACGATGAAAGCCACGGGGCCGAAGAACGCCCCCAGACTGGGCTCCCACGCCATCCAGCAGCTGAAACACACAGCAGGACCGTTTACTGCTCAGCTGTACTTAATGTGACCAAACACATCCAGTCAGCTGAGCTTTCATTTAAATTCAGTTCAATTTTACTATTTATTTAAAAAACTTACTACGGCGCCTGCTCCCCGCTGCCATAGTTGTCTATGTTGACGGCTGCAGTGACCCCACAGATGATGAGAGGAACCCCACCACTGACCAGATAGAAGCTGAAAACAGAAAACACTTTACAGCCTCRTTGTAACAACACAAAGATGTTTTAGACATACTGAGACGAAGCAGAATGATGGATTAAAATATGGGATGGTGCAGCCAGAAGATCTGACCTAACATTGAGCTAACACTGAGCTAACACTGAGCTAACACAGAGCTAAAACAGAGCTAACACTGAGCTAACATGGAGCTAACATGGAGCTAACACGGAGCTAACACTGGGCTAACACTGAGCTAACACAGAGCTAACACTGAGCTAACACGGAGCTAACACTGAGCTAACACGGAGCTAACACAGAGCTAACACGGAGCTAACACGGAGCTAACACAGAGCTAACACAGAGCTAACACGGAGCTAACACTGAGCTAACACGGAGCTAACACAGAGCTAACACTGAGCTAACACGGAGCTAACACTGAGCTAACACGGAGCTAACATGGAGCTAACACTGAGCTAACACGGAGCTAACACTGAGCTAACACTGAGCACTGGGCTAACATGGAGCTAACACTGAGCTAACACGGAGCTAACACAGAGCTAACACTGAGCTAACACGGAGCTAACACAGAGTTAACATGGAGCTAACACTGAGCTAACACTGAGCTAATCATGTGCTAACCTTCAGCTAATATAGAGCTAACAGTAAACTAACACTGAGCTAACACGGAGCTAACACGGAGCTAAAACTAGGGTTGGGCGATACTGGCAAAAAAAATTAACCATGATTAATCGTGGTGTTTAGCCGATAACGATTAATTTGACGATTAATCCCTTGGACACTCTTATGTCTTAGTCACATGACCAATTTAGTGGGAAAGATTTGCTCTTCGTAAAAATCTGTTCCAAATTGTGTCAAAATCACAGACTTCAGGCTATACTTCAGATTTTAAATGGTGTTGATAAATAAAATTACAGAACTTTTGTTTAAATGTTCGTCATAATTGAAGCGGAGAGGAGCACCGAAGGGACTGACGGGAAATCCCCAGTCTGCCTGGTGGCATTAATCGTATTAATCGTCAAGTGGCAAAAAATAATCGATTGTTTTTCTGATGTTTAATTGCAGACGATACAATTATGCCCAACCCTAGCTAACACAGAGCTAACACAGAGCTAACACGGAGCTAACACAGAGCTAACACGGAGCTAACACGGAGCTAACACAGAGCTAACACGGAGCTAACACAGAGCTAACACAGAGCTAACACGGAGCTAACACGGAGCTAACACAGAACTAACACAGAGCTAACACAGAGCTAACACTGAGCTAACACTGAGCTAACACAGAGCTAACATTGACTTTAGCTGACAGTCTTTTTTCAGACTTTGACAGACTAACATTAAGGGACGGACATGAAGACAGATTTATCTGTTTTTCTTTACCAGAACCTAAAAACCCAAATGTAATGTCAGCAGAGAAAGACCTGCATGTGTTTGTGATCAGACTGTTCAGGTCAAATCACACCTTCTACTTGTCTTGCTGCAAACTACAGGTCAGATTGTGTGGAAACAAATCTGCAGCTCGTCCATCTCAGCACAAAGGAACCGACAAATTCAGATTTTCCTTTAGAACATTTTCTTTGTAACTAAGAAAATTGAATTAGAATCAATAAACATCTACTTTTTTCTCATTGCTGAGAGTAATAAAAAGCTTTTAATCCATAATCCACACAAGTATGAAGCACCAGGTGTAAAATGAAATGTTAAAATATGTCACTAACATATTTTTTATTATTTTGCTCACTGTTCTTACATTTAGCTATTTTTTTATTAAATGTTAAATTTAAATGTAAAAAT